GATTTCTGAAGAAGGGTCCAGACTCGAAACGTCAGCTTTCCTGCTCCTTGGCCTGCTGTGTTCATCCAGCTCTACACCTTGTTAGCTCTTTCCCAAGATCAGATCCATGGTGCGAAACTGATGTCAGCCCACTGCCCGATGGTCCTGACACAGCCCCGGGATCGAGGGGGGAAATGGTTAGGGTTAGACGGAGCCCCGGGGTCAGGGAAATGGTGCTGACCAGCCGGAGCTGGTATAGGGGGACCCTGACTGTTTACTCATCGATGTGGATGGTGACCGACAGGGACGAAGCTACCTGGGCCACACTGTGTGTACAGCCACAGAAGGTTCAGTGTAGCACACAACATCTGGGAAGCAGTATAATGTTGTGAGGAGGACAGGATGAGAAATTGGGAGATGGTGAATAGGTGCAAGAGACCCACCACTGACATGGAGAAGCAATTACAGCATGACATGTTTACATTAAATGATCAGTGAAGAGGTTAGGATTGTGTGTTTGGGGGGTAAAAGGCAGGGAAGGCGGCAGCAGTGTGGTAATTGCTGCTGAGATTTGATGACACGACAACACAGACACTGACAGAAATGGTGCCCCGTACTTACATGAGCATTCAACGCATCGTTAGCTTCTCTCTCAGACACTCCATTAACCAATGGTGAAATCACACTGAAACACCTCTCCAGCTTCTGAACAGGAACAGAAAACAGCTGCAGTGAATATTTCTTCATTAAATCTGGCAAAACAGCATTCCCGAGGGGAGAGGCTGGGGACTGGGAGAGCGTGCTCTCTCGGGCAGTCCGTGTCAAAGGAACTCAGTGAAACATTGTGACGTTTGCAAGTTTACAATTCTCTATTCATACTTGAACCAGCAGGGAGTAAGAAGCAGCGAGGAGGAATCAACTGTTATTGCCAATCCTGGCCGACCAATGAAGGGGAACGTTTCACTCCGACATGAGATACTGCAGCCCCATTGGGTGCAAAGCCAAAATCTAACGCCTGTCCACAAGACTGTGAAAAACAGGAACAGGAGTAGGCCATTCAGCCCCTGGAGCCTGTTACACCACTTTTGGACCAAAGGGTCTGTTTCCGTGCTGTATTACTCTATGACTCTACAAGTAAGTGTGTGTTTAGGTGGCAGATGGTTAAGGGGTTAGGATGCCAGTCAAGAAGGGTGCCACAGTTCCAGATACATAGGGTGATAGATAAGTAAGCGGACAGTACATGAATATGAAAGATATGGGCCAAATGCAGGCAAGTGGGACTAGTTTAGTTTGGGAAATTTGGTCAGCATGGATGATTTGGACCGAAGGGTCTGTTGCCGTGCTGTACTCTATGACTATGACTCAATGATTACGGTTGACATTCCTCACATCCACTTGCCTGCCCTTTCCCGATAAATACTGATTCCATTACGGATCAAGAATCTGTATATCTCAGCCTTAAATATAGGAAAGGATTCTGCCCCACAGCTCTCTGTGGCAAGGAGTCCCAAAGACACTCAACCCTCTGCCAGAAGGATTTTCCTTCCCATCTCAGTCTTAAATTGGTACCCCATTATTCTGAGGGGAAGCCCTTTGGTTATGTACCCTTCCATGGTGGGGAAAACACCCTCTCAGTATTGACCCTGTAAAGCCCTTAAGGATTGGACATGTTTCAACGAGATCACCTCTCATTCTTCTAAACTCCAGTGAGTAGAGTCCCAACCTATTTAAGCCTTTGCTTATACGGCAATCCCTCAAACCAGGGATCATCTGAGTGAACCTTCTGTGAATTGCCAGGGGAGCATTGCTGGAAGGACAGTGCTGGGGGAGTGCCACAGTGTCGTGCCAAATATAAGATCAAGGTTCGGTTGAACTTGTCTTGGACATGAGTTCAGCCTCAGAGCTATGGTGTCATGCTTTAGAAAAGTTTCAAAGGGATTGGACAGACAGCAGGAAGGCTTTGTCAGACCGTTTCCTAGACCCTCATGGGCTCCAAGCAAACTGTATAACTGCCTTCTCCCTTGCTGCTCCCCGCCTGCAGAATTTCTCGAATTCCCTTTGGAATCTGCTTCCACCATCCTTTCAGGAACGAAGATTCTGATCACAAAAACAATTAACAGGATGAAATCCCACCGACCCTCCTCTCTCTCCCAAGCCTGAGTCGTCCAGTCCTCATCAGACGAGCTCACTGTACATCAGTTAGCGCAATATAGGATGGGTGGTGTAGAGTTCGAGTCATCAGGTTATTCCTAAAAATATTTACTACTCACTGGAACCCCCTGTGAATAGCAACAAACCCCAAGCTCACCCTTGTAAATCCTCAGAAAGCCCCCCAACCCAATAGGAAGTTATCCTCCAATTCTGGCCTCAACTGAAAGTACCTCACTATGAGTAGCTATGCCTTCAGTTGCTTGGAGCCTTAGCTCGAGGACTCTTTCCAACAACCTATTCTCTCCTCCTTTATGACAGGATTAATTATATTATATTAATGCAACACTTTCAACAGAATAACAGTGCCATTAGGGAGCATTTGAAAGCAAACTTTGACACTAAACCACATCAGGAGATATTAAGAGCAATACGAGTGGGAAAAGATTCAACAACAAGTTCCAACAGGGAGCTAAAAATAAGCATGTACTGCTCCTGCAACAGTGCTGCATTCCTGCAATACTGACCCAGAACAAAAAAAAAGGTGAGGTATGGGGAGGGAGGGATGCTTGATCTTTGGAGGTGTCAACAAATTTCCTTTGCAGACTTTTGCTTGCCCCAACACCAATGAAAAATTAAAACAGATTTAATTTAGGAAAAAAAAAGGACTGAATCTGAAAACTTAACAGTTATGAATATCAAACTAATTTAGCAGCAGTTCATTGACTTAACATTAAATTTTAAAACATGAGACTTTAAAAATATAATGGATTTAATGCAACAAGAATTTAATATTTTGTTTAAAAATGTATTTTAACAAAGTTAGATTTATGTAAAGACATTAAATTCAATTAAAAAAACTAGGGTAAAGTTTTTCTAAAAAAAAACAGGTGTAATTTTAAAAATTAGATTAGGTTAAAAATTATTAGATTTAGTTTTGTAATATTAGATTCAATTCAAAAATTCGATTTAACTTAAATAGATTTAATTTTAAAGAATTTTTTAACATAAAACTGTAGTTTTAAAATTTTATATTTATGTAAAAATAGGGTGGTTGGATTCGAAAATGAGACTTGAACAACATTTAAAAGGATATCTGGACAGCATGGACAAGTTGGACCAAGGGGTCTGTTTCCATGCTGTACAGCTCTTAGGATTAAGTTGAAAGACTGAGGCTTGAATGTGAAAGTATTAGAGACTAAAATCAAAGGTAGATGACTTAATAAAATGATATTTGAGTGAAATAATGGTGTGGTGTCCCCTCCATGTTATGGAGCTGTGGCGGGTGGGAGCAGGGGTAAATCAGTGTTCCCCACCCCCACAACAACCATCCCACACACTCCCTCCCCCCCCTCCCCATCTCTCTCTCTCCCTCCCTCCCCCCCTCCCCATAGCCATCACTGAGCGGCCTAGCGGCGGATGAAGCCTGCGCCTGGTAGTAGCCAGCCTGTCCCACTCCCGCTCACCTCTTCCAGCTCGTCCTTCGCGTCCAAGGCACTGGAGGCCAGCAGCCTCCCCTTGGCTTTGAGAGCGGCCTCCATGCGGCGAGGCGGAGCGCCGGGGCCTCCGACACCCCCCGCACCCCGCCTGGATGCTCGAAGGCCGGGAAAGGGATCACCTCAGCGGCGGCGGGGCGGACATGGAGGCCGATGGGCAACAACACTCCATTCGGCCCCTCCCCCCCATCAGCTCCCCATCCCCCACCGAAACAGACAGCCGGAAGCTCCCGCCCACACCACCTTGAGTGACATCGCTCTCCGCCATTCCGAAACCGGATTGGTGGGCCCGCCCTCCCGATGGAAAGCTCAAGCAGCCAATAGAAGCACGCTTCGATCTCTTTCCCCCCTCCACCCCGCTTCACTGATAGCCGGCAACCTGCACCAATCGAAGTCTGGAGAGGATGTCCCACCCCTACCGATGGACAACTCGTTCCGTCAATCGCATGCCAAGGTTGAACATCCCGCCTTCTGATTGACCGCACAATTCCCCAATCGAAAACCGTCCTTGACGACCCGCCTTATAATTGACAGCTCTTTGCCCAATCCTAAACCGTGTTTATCCGCCCACCCTTTATGATAATTCCCCCAATCCGAAACCAGCCTGGGCGTACCGCCTTCTGATTGACCGCCAAATGTCCCAATCCAAAACGGGTCTTTACGTCCCGCCTTCTGATTGACGGGATCGTGCACCATTCGGAAACACACGTACCCGCCGGCCAAACGGATTTATGTGATAGGTTGGGACGGTACCTGGTCAGATTGGCAGCCATATTCACCAATCATTTGCCAAATCCGTGTCCGGTTCACCAATCGTCTTGGAGCAAAGGGACGGTTTCTCGTTACCCGGAAGTCCCCTGCAATGTGTGTTTTCCGATTCTGTTAATGAATGGAAACGTTGTGCTCCTTCTGCACTTTTTGTAAACGGCATAGTTTGCATGGTCAGCGTTTAAATATAAGGGGTCTGTAAAACTGTATGCAATAAAGAATAGGAATAGGCTGTTCGGCCCCTCCATTCTGCTCCACCATTCAATGGGATCATGGTCGATCTGATATGCCTCATTGTCCACGTTCCTGCCTTTTCTCAAACACCATTGATTCCTAACTGATCAAGAATCTGTCCCAACCTTAGCTCACAACACAATCCTTCCATACCGTGGATGATAGAGAGATGAGGATTTTTCATTTCTTAGAGGGTTGTGAGTTTTAAGAATTCCCTTTGTTAAAAGATAGAAAATTGGAGCAGCAGTAGGCCATTCAGCCCTTCAGAGATAGCAAGAACTGCAGATACCGGAGTCAGACTCAATACGGTGTGGAGCTGGAGGAACGCAGCAGGTCAGGCAGCATCAGAGGAGCACGAAAGTTGACATTTTGGGCCTGGTCCCTTCATCAGGATTTTCAGCCCTTCAAACCTGCTCCACCATTCATAGAACATAGAACATTACAGCGCAGTACAGGCCCTTCGGCCCTCGATGTTGCGCCGACCTGTGAAACCAATCTGAAGCCCATCTAACCTAAACTATTCCGTTATCATCCATATGTTTATCCAATGACCATTTAAATGCCCTTAAAGTGGGCGAGTCTACTATTTTTGCAGGCAGGGCATTCCACGCCCTTACTACTCTCTGAGTAAAGAACCTACCTCTGACATCTGTCCTGTATCTATCACCCCTCAATTTAAAGCTATTCACTACTAATCATCCAACTCAGTACCCTTGTCCTGCCTTTTCAGTCCTCAGAATTATATCCAATTACTTCTCGAAATCTCCCTGGGTGAAAAAAAAGGCAGTGGATGCAGGACCTTTAAATATTTTTACAGCAGAGGTAGATAGATAATTTGATGACTAAGGGGTTCAAAGATTATCGGGAATATGCAGGCTTGCGGAATTGAGGACAAAGTTGAGGACAAAATCAGATCAGCCATGGTCTATGGAGGCGATGGCCTAGAGGTATTATCACTGGACTGCTAATCTAGAGACCCAGATAACATTCGGTGGAATTTGAATTCAACAAATATCTGGAATTAAGGGTCTAACGATGACCGTGAATCCATTGTCGATTGTTGGAAAAACCCATCTAGTTCACTAATGTCCTTTAGGGAAGGAAACTGCCATCCTTACCTGGTCTGGGTCTACATGTGACTCCAGACCCACACGGCAATGCAGTTGACTCTTACCTGCCCTCTGGGCAATTTGGAACAGGCAATAAACGCTGCCCTAGCCAGCGATGCCCTCATCCCATGAATAAATAAAGTCTCTTGGTGGATCTTGACAGGTCCCAGCCTGGCTGTCAGCCGCAGTCTCTTGGTGGCTCATGGCAGTGCCTGGGCTTGGCGTGTGAGGGATCCTGCCCGAGCGTGTTCCCGAGGCACCAGGGGAGATCGGAGACGCCGCAGTTGCAACAGCAGCGACAGTATCTGCGATGGCGACATTGAGAACAAATGGCTGAGGTCTCCCCAGAGACCAAGGTAAGCGGAGGACTCATCAACTTTTAACTTATTCTTTTATTTTCCTAGTTTAAACTACTAAAGACTTTAAACTATTTTCTATTTCTTTATTTTTCTACTATTCTACGAAGTAACTCTCAATTTTAACTTTCATTTCTGTTACTACATTGTACCTAAGTTGTTTTGTATCTAAGTACCTTGGTACCTAAGATGGCACCATCTGTGGCAACATTATATGCTTTTCTCTGTACTCGTGTACACGTGACAATAAAATGTAAAACAAAGTGGTGGACTTTAAATAAATAAATAAAATGGTGGACAAGGCTCGAAGTAGCGTCTGCGATGGTGTCATTGAAATGATTCTGGAACTTGTTACGGACCAGACCAACACCCCTTAAAAATTCACACGGTAGCCTAGATCCTAAAATTTCCTTATTTTAAAGGGAAGTGTAAGGCGTTGCATTCCAGACGCAATTCATTTGGTCAAACTACTCGATTTAATGCGAAACACACTTTATAGTTAAATTACAACAAAAGAAAGAAGCAATTAGGATAACTTAACTCTATTGGAAATCATAACAGAATGACAGATACAGTAACTATTATCGATTAACTGTTCCAATATAGTGACATCCCATAAACACACTCTTTGGCAAAAGGCGTTCAGAAAACAGATTGTGTCACATGCAACCCCAGCAGCCCAGGAGGGGAAAGAAACAGCAACAGAAAAATCTGAGCAAGTGTAGCAGCTGGGAGAGATTTACTGCAGCTTCCAACCCATCATCGCTCCCAACCCAATATGGCGGTGGAGTAGGGGTCCCATGCTGGAGCTCGTCTGCTTTGACTGCTTTTCCTTTTCTCTTTTTCTCCATCTCGTTTCTTTCTATTTCACTTACTTACCTTGTCCTGAGCTTGGACAGCATTGTTGGTGGGCAGACATCGAGTGGTCTCGAGCCGGGCTCAGGGCGCGGATCCTAGGCAAGCCCAGAGCGGAGGAGAGTGAGCCCCTACCTCCTTTACTGGAGCGGGCACGGGACCCGAAATCGATGGCTGCTGTGTTGGCAGAGGCGACGTCCGTGAGGTAGGCCCAGCAGCAAAAGATGGCGCCTGAGGATCAACCACTTCGATGTTGGTTGGGGTGGGTCCAACGCTGACAGTGGTGAAGTGCGTCATGGCAACATCGATAAGGTGGGTCCAGCGGTGAGAGACGCGGCTCTGATGCTGGTTGGTCTGGCACGGTTGGCGGTGGGGGAGAATCAACCCAGCGGCACAGATGGCACCTGAGGATTGGCGATTTGGGTGTTGGTTGGGGGTCTGGTACAGTTGGGCAGCAAGCCCATACAGGAGGGATGGCGAGGTAGGCATCATTTGACGGCAATGAGCTCGCTCAGGACTGATGGACTGTCTTCAAGCTATATTTTTTCCCCTTATTCTTAAATGATTCAAATGGCATCATTTTGTGGTGACCAATGAAAGCTTTCCACTGTATTTTGTTGTACTTTTTTCTTTATTCATTCATGGGATGAGACCAGGCAGCATTTATTGCCCATCCCTAATTACCCAGAGGGCAGTTACGAGTCAACCACATTGCTGTGGGTCTGGAGTCACATGTAGGCCAGACCAAGTAAGGATGGCAGTTTCCTTCCCTAAAGGACATTGGTGAACCAGATGGGTTTTTCCGACAGTCGACAGTGGATTCACAGTAATCATTGGATTCTTAATCCCAGAATTTTTTTATTGAATTCAAATTCCACTATCTGCTGTGGAGGGATTCGAACTTGGGTCCTCAGGACATTATCTGGGTCTCTGGATTAACAGTCCAGCGATAATACCACTAGGTCATTGCCTTCTTACTGTAAAACACACATTGTCAATAAAATCAAAATCAAAACCCTACTGAGACCCCAGCAGCTTCTACTGAAAGGTAAAATTCTGGATCTGTTTGAGCCCAACCCCACCCATGCAGGCTGCTTCTATTGTTCCAACTTCCAAAACAAAGCCCAAGGCCTCACAAGCTGTTTACTCTAATGTCTCGGGTTGACTGCTCAGCACCTCTGCCTTACAACCTCTCTTCAAAAACAACCAGGACAAAATACAGGACAACAAGGTGCAGAGCTGGATGAACACAGCAGGCCAAGCAGCATCATAGGAGCAGAAAGGCTGACGTTTCGGGCCTAGACTTGTGTTCATCCAGCTCTGGACCTTGTTGTCTCGGATTCTCCAGCATCTGCAGTTCCTACTATCTCTGATTCAAAATACAGGACAGTCAGGACTACAGATGCTGGAGTCAGAGACAACACAGTGTCTGGAGCTGGAGGAACACAGCAGGCCAGGCAGCATCGGAGGAGCAGGAAAGCTGATATTTCGAGTTGGGACCCTTCTTCAGTAAATTTTATAACCCCACTGCGAATCCTTTCCTGCTCCGCTGATGCTGCCTGGCCTGCTGTGTTCCTCCAGGACAAAATACGCCTCTTTAAGCCACAGTATTGTCACAAAGGCCACAACATCAGGATGGTGCAATACCAAAGTGTCAGCAAAACACAAAGGGACAGAAAGCAATGTTTGTTCATAAAAGTTTAGTTGTCATCAATGTTTGTCGGATTCTTCAACACCACTACACTCATGCATAGTGACTTACATTATAGGGAATGGTACCAGCATTACCACATTATACAAGACACCTCAATGGAGACAAACTCTGACTGCGTAGCTCACTACCACCTGCACCAGGTTGCTTAAGGATGCTGTTTTGCCAGAGATGTCTGCACCCAGGAGACAATTTTCGGAAGAAATACAGAGGGCGGTGGGAATCTGGAACTTGCTACCTGTAAGGGAGGCAGAGACAGAAATCCACGTCACATTGAAGAAGGATTTGGATGGGCACTTGTGAAGCCAAGGCAGGGATATGGGCCAAATGCTAGCAAATGGGACGAAGTTAATTTAGGATACTGGGTCAAGCATGGACAGGTTGGGCTGAAGTGTCTGTAGCCTCTAAGAGCTGGAAAATAGGATTAGAATATTTAGGGTGTTGTTTATGACCAGCACAGACTCGATGGATCAAAGGGCCTTTTTCTGTGCTGTCGGCCTCTCTGACTGTTACAATCAGCAGAAAACCCTCCGCGTCTGTTTTGTCAGAAATGACACGATTTCCTGTATCGCTTCTGAAATCCTTTTCAAAGCAACGCCGATTAAAAAAGCCTCTCTGGTGAAAATCCTTTGTGAAAGAAAGGGCTGCTCCCAACAGGAATCAGATTGCAGTCACTGTCGAGGAGAGATACCAATCGCGTCGAGCAAGTCAGGAGAGCCGTCTTCAGTAACAGGAAGCTGATTGTCCCCTTCTCAGCCCTGGCTCAGTGGGGAGCTCACCCATCTCCTAATCAGAAGGTCGCAAGTTCAAATCCTATTTCAGGCTGACATTCTGTGGAAAGATTTACAAGGATGTTGGAGGGTTTGAGCTGTAGGGAGAGGCTGAAGGATGTTG